TTAAATGCTTTTGCATATTTGTATTACATTTATGCATGCATATACATAATATGTATACGCATACTATACGTGCAATATATTATATTAAATTGAATTTCTTTAAAAAATATATTGTTTAGTACTAAAGTCGTTTTTGCATGAGTAGGGAATATTCAGATATTATAATACAAACTAGGCGTAAGGGGCATTTTGCCTTAAGGCAAGTTGCGCGAACTTTGCGACACGTGTAAATAATGATCTAGTACTTTATATATTAATTGATAAGTGATTATTTAAGCTGTAATTTTCGAAAATATTGCAGGTTATTCAATTACGTAAAAAAAAATCAAACGTTTTACTTATTTTTGATAGTTTGTTTAGGACATAGGACATTAAATTTCGAATTAGGTGTAAGAGGCATTTTTCCTCAAGACAAATTGCGTACTTGACTTGTGTAAAGATTAAAATAATTCTATATTAATTCATGAGTGATTTAGGGCTGCTGCTGTAATTTGCGAAAATATTGCAGGTTATTCAATTTTATAAAAACAATCAAACTTTTGAGTTATATCCGATAGATTGTTTAAGACATGTGACATTAAAATTCGAATTAGGTGTAAGGGAAATTTTGCCTCAAGGCAAGTTGCCTAACCTTTCCGACATGTGCAAATAATCATTAAGAAATTTCTATATTAATCCATGAGTGATTTATAAGGATACCTATTTGCTATAAGGTTGTTGCTGTAATTTGCGAAAATATTACAGATTATTCAATTTTGTAAAAAGAATCAAACATGTTAGTTATTTCCGATAGATTGTTTAGGACATAGGACATTATAATTCAAACTAGGTGTAAGGGGCATTTTCCCTTAAGGCAAGTTGCATGAACTTTTCGACTTGTGTAAATATTTATTAAGGAATTTATATATTAATTCATGAGTGACTTATAAGTATACCGAGTTGCTATACGATTGCTGTTATAATTTGTAAAACTATTGCAGGCTATTTAATTTTGTAAAAAAATCAAACATTTTAGTTATTTTCGATAGATTGTTAAGAACATAGGACATTATAATTCAAATTAGGTGCAAGGGGCATTATCCTTAAGGCAAGTTGCGTGAACTTCCCGACTCGTGTAAATATTTGTTAAGGAATTTATATATTAATTCATGAGTGATTTATAAGTATATCGAGTTGTTTTAGGGCTGCTGCTTATAATTTTCGAAAATATTGCTGGTTATTCAATTTTGTAAAAAAAATCCAAACATTTTAGTTATTTTCGATAGATTGTTTAAGACATATGGCATTAAAATTCGAATTCACGAAAAAGCGGCCTGGCCGATCTTTGTCCAAAACTAATCAGCGCGATTCCCAAATAATATCCTAAACATAGTATTATAATGGCTAAAACGCGACCGACAAATTTTTCACTCTTCTGATAATTTTGAAGAAACGGCTCTGCCGACCGTATCGAGAAACTAGCCGACGTGAGTGCTTGAATACTTTCATTGAATATCTTATACATTTTTGAAATCGGTGCAGCCGTTTTAGGGAAAACGTAACCAAAAGATCGCAAAATAATTGGATTGGATTCAGAATGACTTAAAACGTCGAGAAAACACAAAATTAGCAAATTGAATTGAATTGAATTGAAATTAATGCATAAAAAAGTGCATAATATCAGAACCGACTAGGTTGATAATTCATGCGTATTTGCATACGCGATTTCAATTAACTTGTTACTAACAAAATCTAATTAATGTTTTTGATATTTTAAACAAAGATTTAGAATTAAATAAATTTCACATTTGTCTTATAAATATAAATTATATATTGGATGGTTTTGGGTTAGATTTCGGTTGGATTGTATCGTTTGTAATCCTAGTAATTATGTATTATAAATCGTTTTTGCTGAGTGAATAATACAGATAATATTCAGAACAAAAAGTTAGGTAAAATAACATTTTTACAGTAGGAAAGGCACAGGCTTGCTTGCATATAATGTTGCATACTGCATTTCATGAGCATATTTCAGCATGTCAAGGTCATATTTGTTTGTGTCTGAATTTTGGACAAGAACTACAATGAATAGAACTAGAACATTGTCGATTTACTTGTATTTCATTTTTGATAATTTAATATTACATATTAAGGGTTTAATTTTTATCATAGATGGACAGATTGCATCATAATATTGAGTTAAAACCTTCGGTACGAACGGCCTATACACTTCTTATTTGGCATAAGGCAGCATTTCGATCTTAAGTTTAGAATATATCATATTATTATTACTTAATTATATATTATTAACTCCAGATAGAACGGTATTTGCACTTTTTCGAGGCGTACATGCAGACTTTTGTACTTTTTTATTAGGTACTTTTGCTATGGAAATTTTGAAAATTGAAGACTGTTTGTTTCTAAACCAGAGTTTTATATGTTCTAACAAAAGACAAATAAAAAATCACTGGTTAAGTAAGCATAATGCTATTCTAGGATTGGATTATGACAAAAGTAATAATGTAAATGATATTTTTGGTTTCAGATTTCAAAGTGTTAAATGTGAATAAGTGTTTAGTGAGTTCATCCATCCTCAGCGTGTTAAATACGAATAAGAGCTTAAGAGTGCACTAAGAGTCGGATTTCTACTGATATCAAGGTAAGTCATTTTGATTAAATTTTTTTCTTAATCTCTCAAATCAATAATGTTACGTAGAACATGTTCTGATATTAATTTCATATTAATATCGTAATAGAATCTCGCCATTTAAAATATTATGAACAACTTGGTCTAAAACTTAAACGTAGCCAAAATTTGGCATACTGAATAGTGAAGTTTCTGCAATCATTTGCTTATCATTACTTTAGATTGATTTCTTATTAAGAGAAATATTTTTAAAATTGAATAACAATCTTAGTATCAAATTTTATGGACATTCCATTTGAGTTAAGGCTCACGATTCATTTTCCGAAAGGTATTTAAAATATTTTTTTGTGTAAGATTCAGTTAGTTTGAACATTTGAAAAATTGTAAAATTGTATGGTGATCCAAGTGGTACATGACGGTTAAAGAATATTGATAGTGCAGAAATCAATCAAAATTATTATCAAAAATGTATAATACAGGAACATAATTAAGAAAACTTTTTGCGTTCATGTATAGTTGACTTTTAGTTTAGTTCTATGATTCAACAAAAAGGTTGCAAGTTCACTTTAAATTAAAGTATGGTTTTAATTGATTCTTTAAGTATAAATTAATATCGCCCTTAGTATGAGGTTATCAAATAACTTTTTTTTATCTATTATTCTATTCCTAAGAATGATTTACATTCCAATATTTCCTCTGGTAGCAGATTTGGCCATGCGACCGTACTAAAGTGTTTCAGATCAGGTCGTTTTATTACGCAATAAATAAAAAAGATAAAAAAGTTTTATGCCTTTTGTTATAAAAATCTCTTAAACTCTTTTGAGTGGCGTTGAATCTTAGCACGAATTTGGCCGGTAATTCATAAAACTTTGTGTGTTATTTTGACAATGTGGAGCTCTCGTAAAAGTTTATTATTATCATGAAGAATCGGTAAAAAGTTTTTATGCCTTTATGTTATAAATAATTTCTTAAACTCTTTTGAGTGCGTTTGAATCTTAGCACGAATTTGGCCGGTGGGTTTTTTTAATTTTAAAACTTTGTGTGTATTTTGACAATTGAGCTCTCGTAAAAGTTTATTATTATTCATGAAGAATCGGTAAGCTTAGGGTTCCTGGTATCGATAATTTTGATCAAATATTTTGTGGATACTGGGTTAAGCATATTTAACCAACTCCAAAAGCTCGAATAACACGGAGCTTGTTTTGCTGCTTTATGGCTCTGCTTGCCAGGTACCTGGTCTGTAGAGGGTCCAAAACTGACGTCAAGCGATCTCGGTTACTTGCCAGCATGCTGGATTTCAACATTAGAACGTGCGCTATTTTTCGTGCTGGATTTGCCCGCACGGACCAATCGGGAAGCAGTAGTTTGTCACATGGATCATCACGTGACGGCACTGCTTTTGTCAAACGTACGACATATTTTGGAAATAGTTATGAAATCATGTCAATTGATCGGCCTCGGACAAAAACATATAGTTTTTTTAAATGTTATTTTAATTTAGAAAATTTAGATAATTTAAAATAATATAAACGTAAATGATAAATGATACCAAAAACATTTCTATTTTATTAAGTATAAATATTTTTTTATATTTTTTATATATAGAAGCATTTGATTTTAATTTATTTCAATTATTTCATTTATTGGAGAAATATTATTGAATATTAATTTCTAAAATTCACAAAAAAAATATTAAAAAATTAATTAATATTAAAATTAAAATATATATTATAAAGTTACTAAAACAATAATTAAATTTTTACAATTATTTATATTTGTATGATTTTATTTATTTTACTAATAATGTTTCAATAAATAATTTAATTCAGATTTATGAAAATTTAAATAAATTATATAACTTATTTTTTTTTAAATTATTATATTAATTATCTCTTTTCTATATTAATTTTATTGAATTGTTTTATTAAAATTAATGTTATTTTCTACGACCGTGTTAAATAGAAAAAGTAAACTAAAAGTATTATTGTTAATTGTAACTAAACTAAAAGTATTGTTTAAACGAAAAATTGTGTTAAACTAAAAGTATTGTTGAATTTCGGCACCCATTAACGGCACCTATTAACCACCGCTTAAAATCTAGTTCAAAAAGCCTCGTGTGATGCGTACGGCTAGAAAAATATCATGATTTATAGCGCCGTCATCGGCAAAAAAATCAAGCGGGAAATCCAGCGTCAGAAAACAAGCCTCGTGTGATTCGGGCTTAACTGAAATTAGCGAGTATACTAGTCATGCAGAAGTGGCAGAATTTTGAATGGAAATGGAAAAATTATAATCCGGAAAAAATTTTCATAGTAAATTAATATTGATAATTCCATGTTATAAATCTATTCCTCACCTGGTATGACTGTCGGATATGTGTTCTGCGTCTCCATCTGCCTCTCTCTGCTCTGCCCAAGCTGCCGTTCCTCTGGCATCGGCACCTGGAGCATGTGCTCCTGGTCGATCTGGTCCTGGTGAGCAGTGGCGGCGGCGGAGCAGGCGGAGGAGACGGAGATTGACTCGGGCTGGACCAACCGCCACAACCATCGGGCCTCATAATATTGAAATATGTTGCCCCGATGAATTATTCGCAGCTACCTGAGCAACATTTTCAACGTAGTTTTGTCCTTCAGGGATCGAAACACTTTGAACGTAGTTTTTCCACTAGCATTTTTGATTTTTTTTAAGTATTACCCTTCACAACACCGTTATCTCACATTTTTTTAAAGTATTTTTTTGAGTCAAAGTCGTGAGCGAATATAACTTTGCTATTTGTCTTCTAATTGAACCATTGAGTTTTTTTAAATTATCTTTCCTAAATTGTAGTAAAAAAATTAATTTATTTACTGTTTGCCAAAAATGCTTTTTTTACGATCTTAATTATTAAAGCACATTTTTTTCATTCTATATGATAAACATTACAAAAAATTAATAAAATGTTTACATTGATAAATAGAAATAAATTTGAACAAAAAAGTGGACAATATTTTGACTAAGTCATGCTTCTTAGTTATGTTTATGAAGTCAATTTAAGTGAATTTTATTATTGCTTGTACTTTGCAAACTTTCTGAGGATTTGTTCTGGTAAATTTGTATAATATTGGTATTTGGTGGATAAGTTAATTTAAATCATATTTAGGCATCTGTAATGATTAAAATTATATATAAAATATGTTAACCACCCTTTATGGTTGATTTTGTAACGATTACTTTTCGCTTATTTTCATCACAAATAATTTTTTTAAGAATATTTTGATTAAAGCAAAAGGCTTAAGCACATAGTGAACCTCTTCTCAAAAATAAATATATTATAACATATTTGTGTACATTTAAAAAAAAAATCATTTTGGACTTTATAATTTATTTATGATAGTAAAAACTAAATAAAATTTACTAAAACTCGGTTAAACCAATTGAATTCACTTGCATATTTAAATTACGAGTAATTCGTAGTTTGGATTTTAGTATTTTCATAATTTGCAATATATTGATTCAGAGCATTTTTTATTTCTCTTCAAATAACTTTAAATTTTCATAATTTTTTTTTGGACTTTATAATTTGTTTACATAAGTAAAATTAAATAAAATTTACTATAATTCAATTAAAACTGTTATATACACTTAGATATTAAAATTTTGAATAATTTGTAGTTAATTAATTGTTTGGTAATTTGCGCGCAAAGGGTTTAGAACATTTTGAATTCGAATGACTTTGAATTTTTATTTCGTATATTATAATTTGTTCACATTAGTAAAAACTTAAAATTTACTAAAATCCAGTGAACATTGTTATATAAACTTTCATAGTAAAATTTTGAATATTTCGTAGTTGAAATACTGACATTAGTATTTTGATAATTTGCAATATATGGATTTAGAACATTTTTTTACATTTCTTCAAATTGCTTTTGATTTTTATTTCGGATATTACAATTTATTAACACTATAAAATTGGCACGATAAAAGCTTTGAATTTTTATTTCGGACATAATTTGTTTGCATTAGTAAAAACTAGATATAACTTACTAACTTAGATATAACTTACTACTTAGTAAAAACTGTTATATGATCTTGTACATTAAAATTTTAAATAAATTGTAGTGGAAATGCATATCTAATTTTTGGATATTTTGCGTTTTATGAATTTAAACATTTTTTTACATTTATTTAAATAGTTTTTAATTTTTGTTCTGGATTTTACTATTTGTTTACTCTAGCCAAAACTAAATAATAAAATTTACTGAAATAGTTAAAATTAATATATACACTTGAATATTAAAATTTTGAATAATTCGTGGTTAAAATGAGAACTTTAGAATTTCATTAATTTGTAGTATATATGAAATCAGAACCATTTTTTGCTTTTTCTACAAATAACATTAAATTTTCATTTCGAATATTTAAATTTATTTACATTGGTAAAAATTAAATAAAACTTACTGAAATGTTGTTGAAACTATTATATACACTTGGATATTAATTTTTTGAATAATTCGTATTTGAAATTTGGATATAGAGCATTTTTTACTTTTTTCAAATGACTTTAAATTTTTATTATTGATATTATAATTTGTTTGCATCAGTAAAAACTAGATCAAATTTACTGAATTCATTCATTTGAACATTTGTAGTTTTGATTGTTTATAATGTACAGGTAAAGAATAAAAAGAATTAAATAAAATAATTTGTGATTGCATTAAAAAGGTTCTTTTATATTTCAATTGTTATATAACTCTTTTGTTAATTTTGTTATTTATTTTTGTTGCTAAATATTATTTTATTATAATTCAAATCTTTTCGATTTCTAGTTCAAATTAATATGTAGAATTTAAATTTAACAATTTATGTTTGAATACAGTTTTAAAAAATTTAAAGGTTCATTAACAAAATTTCGGTTTATATAATTTTAATATCAGCATTAATCTAAAACTTAGTGTCTCTGGTTATCCAAAAATTCCATATACCACCTTTACTTAAGTTAGTTTGTATATTTTATATTCAAAAGCAATACATGATTTATTCTCTCCATAAATCACACATGGTTACATAATATAGTGATATTTCACAGTTATATTTGTGCAGCAGCAAATCTAGCGGCAATGGCTTGCGGCAGATTTGCCGTCGTTTAATCGCTTTTCGAATAAAATTTATAGCCTGTTCCTGTAAATGACGTTAGTACCGAATATCCGATTCGATTGCAATTCGAGTGTTTTATCGACCTATCTTTCAATGGACTGTCTGTCCGTCCGTCCGTCTATTTGGCTATAGGAATATAGAACTACTAATGGTCAAGAATTTATTGCTCCAATATTGATGGACATTACAATTTTCTAATGTTAAATTGATTGTTTTGCATAACTGAGATAATGGTTAGATTGATGATAATACAGTTTCTTATATGAAAAACTAAGTGTTTGAATTTGTGTCGAATGTTTGTTGCTTTTAATTTAAATTCAAGGTAGAAGTAAATTTCTACATTTACATTTTCAAATATCTTTGCTCCCAAAAGCTCAAATGCTTCCAAATTAATAAAAAAAAATCTCTAAAAGTTTTACTTCTTAATATTAACATTTAGATCCGCAATTCAATTAGAAGTCTCGTATTTTTTTTTAACATGTATCAGGTAAATTTTTGTTGCCATCTCTGTTCGCTGACTTGTAATTTTGATGGTAATTTACTACTGATAATTAGAGTGTGGACATCACCAATTAAACATTTTGCTGCAAAATAAATTTTTGATGAATAAACATTTTGTTAATTAGCTCACATGGATTTAATTAGACCTTAAGTGATTTATAAATATTTTTGAAGTCCTTGGGAGCCAAGAAATTCGAAAATATACATATTAAAGACCAACCTAATGTATTTTATACATATCTATTGAAATGGGCAAAATTTTTTTGCGATTTCATTGGAATTGGAACTCCAATTTGGGTTTTGTCGATCATGACAAAAACTTTTTCACAAAACAATTGATCAAAGATGATATTAGAGCCTTAACTTTCAATATATTTTTATCTCCAATGCCTAACTGCTTACTGTACTGTAAAAACGATGTAAATATTATTTTTTTTATCAAATTTTAAGCTATTAAATCATGTGACTACCATAATTTCATTTTTGGTTATAAATTTTTACTTTAATTTTAAAATACTATTGGTATGTATTTTATGACAAAACTATATTTTTGTGTGTGTTCCGTGGTATGCATTTTCTCAATGATGAATCGAAACAATCGAATAATATATCGAAACATACAAAATAATTTGTTAAAATATTTATCAATTTTTATTACAACAATTTGGCTGAATTTTATCACTTAAGAAATGTATGCGTTTATATATGTATATTTGGAAGTTTTTGGGTTTGATAGATTTATAAATT